TGAGTATGTCTAGTTTAATGAAAAAAAGGACTAGGGGTAACATGATAGCAGTGTTCCAATATCTCAGGGCTGTAACAAAGAAGAGGGAGTCAAACTACTCTCCTGAGGGCATGACAAGAAGCAATGGGTGGAAACTAATCAAGGAGAGAAGCAACTTAGGAGAAATTTCCTGACAGTTAGAACAATTAATCAGTGGAACAACTTGCCTCCAGAACTTGTGAATGCTCCAACACTGGAAGTTTTTAAGAAGAGATTAGACAACCATTTGTCTGAAGTGGTGAAGGGTTTCCTGCCTAGGCAGAGGGTTGGACTAGAAGACCTCCATGGTCCCTTCCAACTCTCTTATTCTATTCTATCCTGTGAGCCTTACTTGCCTAGCTTTAGATGAAGAGTTGCAGGCAGAAAACTCCTGGTTTATTAATCCATACCAAGGCTGGTTGTATAAACTTTTTGTCAGTCTCCAAGGAAGGAACATGTCATCCTAACCTCTTGGTGTAAAAAAAATATGGCCAATTTGTTGAATATGGTTGGGGTTGGGCTATTTGGAGTCCTATTTAGCAGTTTGAAAAGACTGAAGTTGACCTGTACTTGCTGAAATCATTCATCCCTTATTTCTCAGGTCACGAGAAAATATTATGGCTCAAGAAACTAATCATAGCCAAGTGCCTATGCTATGTTCTACTGGATGTGGATTTTATGGAAACCCCCGTACAAATGGCATGTGTTCGGTATGCTACAAAGAACACCTTCAACGGCAGAATGGTAGTAATGGTAGAATTAGCCCATCAGGTAAGTGTGACACAACAAAGGCCTTTGAATTAATGTGTTGTTTCCTTCCTAGAGGCAGAATCTGGGGGCAAAGTGGAATACAGACCAATCATTGGACAAAGTGGGATGGTGTCCTTAGAGGCTATAAAAGGGGAAAGGTGTTAAGGGTTCAAGGCTCTCAAATTTATGTTCAGCCTTCCCTTGATGGAAAATTTCAACCAAATTGATTAGGGGCTAGAATAATTGGTTCCCGCTTATATGCCTTATTCTGGGTGGTCTTCAGTTTCCATAAACTGCGCTGGCCCCATCAGCTATGGGATTCTGGAGGTGATGTCTTTGGATCAGGATGTTGCCCGGATGTCTTTGCATTGGGATATTTCTCTCTATCAAAATGAGGGTAAGAAATGATGCAGAATATCACAGAGTTGCTGTAGATAAATGTATGGATGACAATGGGGTTCCACCACAAAACCGCGGTAGACGAAAGCGCGGTAGACGAAAGCGCGTATGTGATGTCATCACAGCGCGAC